AACACTTTAACATAGCTAACTGCAAGTATTATATGGTTACCAATCAATAATTAAAACAGTTAAACGAACATATAATAGGTTAACTGAAATTTCAATGCACAAATAGTGCTGAAGGCTTTTTTCCCCTGAAATTTTCCCACCAAAGGGAACCCCATCACTGTAAACTCTGCCCTGTACGCAAATACATAGTATGGCAAGACTAGAAAAAAGAACAAAAATAAATGAAAACAGTGCTACCCTTTCAATGTCAAACTCAACATACCTGTAAGATGAACTCTGATTTTACCAACAGAATAAAAGGCAACTTTTTCCCCAGCTTGGAAATTAAGATCTAGCTGACATTGCAACATTTTCTGTGAGTGGAGGTTGCACAAGACATATTCTTGATTTTCATATTCCAGCATCAAAGAGACATCCCCATCATTGGCACCACGTTCTAAACATGCCATGGAAAGGTGAAATGACCTCCCAACTGTCTGCATGTAGCGCTTGCCTGGTTCAATAGCAAGACCTAGAACAAAATCAGTAATTACACTCAACAGAACATGACATTTTATTTTTATTTGTAACGAACAGATGGTTCACAACAAGCTTCATACAAAAGTAGGTTGCACATGGGTATTTGTACGTAAGTAATAAATAACCTACACAAAAATACAAAATAAAGTTGAAATGGTACAACATTATAACTCAATTTAAAAACAAAATACTTGTACAGCTCAAGAAAAATATGCGTATATGACCTATTAAAAAATTTGGGTCTAGAGATTTGAATTTTGGTACAAGAATGGTTGAAGCTGTTTTCCATTAAAAGTTGGAAGGAAAACAAGATATTACTCATGTTTACATCTTTACAGGCGTATTCTCATACCAGAGCAGTGATAGAACTGGAACTATCATGTCTGAACAGTTTGGTACAGAATTTTGAAATGTATAAAAGCCTATTCATGAACTTCTCACATATTACAAACCAAAAAAACCTATCACTTTCTGGTTGCCAATTATATAAATATTGTCTGAATAATATTTGTGTACTTGACTGCTGGGGAGGGGGTAGAGTGATGGTATTTACTCAGGCTCAGACACTTGTGTGGCCCTTCTTTGATAAGATCACAACAGTAGCAAAAAATAAATCACAGTAAGCACAAACAGCAGAAGACATAACCAAAGAAGTAACTGCACTCTGAAGTACAGTTGCTTTGCACTGTAAAATTACATTTTTTCTTCACAATATCAGCAACTCTGCAGTGACAAACAGAATGTGAAGCCTCTGATTGGATAATGGAACCCTTTCTCCCTAGTCATGTGCTGGCCATCAATAAGACATTCAACCCATACATTAAATTAAGACTTAATCATTAAATATATTTAATATGCATAAGAAAAGCTAAAGGCCAAAGGACAAACTACTATACATATGCAAGCCTCGAAGTATTTTCTTTTTACAAGATTATTTTTACAAAAGGAAAATTAACTACAATAATTTCTCCGTAACAGTTTTCACTTCTTTGCTACCTGCTTCCCTCCTTCCCAAAATGTGTTCACAGCCATTACTTTGAAAACTGATCCAACATGTCTAATGAGGAATCAGGCAAAACTATTTCCTTACATAAGGGAAATAAACTTAGCACAATGCCTATGTGAATACATGGTGCATGGATGTTATAATTACCTACCCATTCTTAAAGTTTAAGAACATGTATTATTTAATGGTATTCAATCCTGGAGTTTCACTTTTGTATTTTGTAATCTATTTTTTCAGGCCTAATTTTCAAAGCATTGAATGTTGTATTCATGTCAATGTCAAATTTGTGACTTTTATTTACTTATTCACTCACTAGAAGTGTTATAGGCATGGAAAGTACATTTAAATGGATACAAAACCACCAGATCTTGAACTAACAATTACAACTTTCTATTTTACATTCCAATTTAAATAGTGGCACTTTAAGGTCAAGAGCTGGAAGGAGTGGGAGACACTCATCCAATAGAGCTCCAATACCCAAAGTTATCTAGGTTATCTGGGATGAGCTGCATTTGTTGTGACTGACTAAAAGCCACAATACATTGGCTGAAAGTTGAGCCACCATGACAGATTCAGCTTGTACCAAATCACCCAGATGATACAAACTCCAGCCACAAAAGCCTTCACAATCCTGCATGAATTTTTAACTGACATTTTATCTGCACCTGTCGTAGACCATCTCAGTAACATATGACCATTGCCCCCAGTCAGATGATGTCTATTGCTGGAGCAGATGAAAGGTTTTGTTAGCAGTGCCAAGTACATCAAGTAAATCTGATCTATAAGCCTGGCAAGCAGTATCAATTTTGACACTGCTTATCAAAGCTTTGCTTTGTATTGCTAACTGTTTTATATTACCAGAGTTTCACATGATTGGTTAGATACAGCATTTTACAATCAAAATCAGTGAATCTAATGCATTCTACCTCTGCTTAATTAAATAAGTTATTTAATTTACATTTTATTATAGAGTGAAGTGCAAGTATTGTAAAGGCCTTGCTAGTGGCAAACAGCAGCTTTCAGATGTTTGCAAATATTTTAAAATTAACAAGGAAATTCATTACCCATTTATTAAAGCTTAACCTACTCAATGCTTAATAATACATTTCAATTAACTCCTTGTGCTTCGAGTAATTTCAGGTCAAATTTGTTACTGAAAGTTTGCCAGTATGCAACAATGCCTTTCCTTACAGCTGCTCATCATGACCCTGGTAGTACCAACAATGACTGTAGCAAACATCGTAGGTGAATATAATACTTTTCTTGTTGCATGTTCACCCCTTTGGTTGAGGGCTATCAAGATACAACAGCAGACATTTTAGCCTCAACCCTTTCCATTCCCATTTTGGTATAAGTTTAGTATACGATACACCCTTAGAGAAGCAGGGTGGGGCTTAAGCCCTAATTACTGTATGTGCTATAATAGAAATGAGATAACAGAAATGAGAACTTTTGAATAGGAGATTTTCATGGTTTGCCCTTTATATGCTTTGTCCCCACTGCATTGTAACACCAATTTACTTTCAAAGGCAAGTTTTCTTGCTTTGCTCGCTCGGAACAGTTACAGCGAGGCTCGGGCCTTCGACCCTCGCATTCACTATAAACATCCTTGAGTCTATTGAACGCATAATTACCAATTACTTTTATAAGAAAGCACTTTTCAAGAAAGCCTCCAGAATTATAACTGCCTAAATAACGTCGGAACAGTGCAAAGTTTAAATGACTGTGTAAGTGCCGGTTTAAATGACTTCCTTAGGTTGTACCGTATATTACAGTTTTTTAATTGTATATTCTGACTGAGTAGCATATCTTTAGTTGGTAGCAGCAAGATTAGCACAGCATCAGGTTAGATGTGGCACTGGGACAGCTGCAACATGTCCCTTTGGATTCTTTGGAGGGGCTCCTGACCTCACTGATACATTTTAAAGACGTCTACAAAATTTTCTTTCATGAATGATATTGCAATTTCAATAAAGTTATAAAATAATAAAGGTTGTAAGTTAATGGCAAAGTCTGGACTTCAGTTTTCAACATCTGAATCCCTTCTAAATACAAAATCACATTCAGTAACAGAACCATCACTAAGTCGAGATCAGACAACCCCCTCCTTCAGAATTTTCTAGTTTTTCATTGTGTAACATAGGATTTTTCTAGTTGCTTATTAGCTCAACTAGTTAAATATCAAAAGTAACCTTTCTCCAACAAGTCTTAGTGCCAAAAAACGAATACTCTCCCTCCAGAGTACCTTTCTACCTGATAAAAGAAATAATATATCTAGTAACCATATAATTGCTAAGATATCTAAATTCAACGCAAACTTTTATACCAAATAAATCACAATTCGAAGTAGATAATTAGTCAATTAGTTCATCTTTATACATGCAAACGAACTTAAAATGTTGCAAAGCTTAGATTTCTCCTAAGCAACAGCAGCAACAACTACAACAGGCTGCAGCAGTAACCATCAGACAGTACCAGTATCTGCATTACCCAGCAGGACAATGTCCCATTAGTAGTGAAACGGTTAAAACTAAAAAACAAGTTAGTTGTCTGTACATTACTTGAAATTTTGTGTGTGCCTCTCAGACTAACTTTGCTACTAGGAACAAAAATTTCATAATATTGCCTCTATCTTACAAGTTTGGGCTCAACTTTCCTGCAAACACAACATGCAACTACATTGCAAAATCTTGTGTAATTTCTCAAGACATGAAGATCATGTATTCTAAAACTCCGGTATTGATGCTGTAACTAGCAGTTAAAGTAACTATAATGTAAACTTTACTGGTTCGTGATAAGAATTTCAAATCAAATACCAAATCTTTAGTCATATGTTGACTTCTGCATCTTTTAAGTTTTTCATTTCATTATGAACACTTAGATTTGTTTGAGACCCGCAACTTAAAAACGAATCATTTGTATGTATTCAGAATTACGACCTTTCTTAAACCAAATAATTGGAGTGCTGGAAATAATTTAAAAACTCATTATCTACTACAGACCCCATCTTCCCCCTAATAAGAGGAGAGCGTAAAACTTCTCAGCTAGTCACAGAAAATTAGTTGAATTTAGACATAAGGGTTTAAACTTTTAATAAATCTAATTACCCCGTCATCAGTTCTTTGAATTCGCTTTGGCACCTATCTGGTACATTCCCACGTGTTCTAAAACCGGCGACGCCAAGCCTTACATAACCAAGAAAAAATTACGCAGCGAACAAAGAAATATTCTCTAAAAGAGCTCAGAGGCCCATATTGCTAGGTATTATAAGGCGATACCCTTTAGGTTCATAGACTGGAAAAAAATCAAATCAAATCTTCGTAGTGCGAAATGCACGTGTATACGGACAAAGGCATGATTGTATCAATCGCAACATACAAAGAAACATTTGAACGAGTCCTAGAAAATAATATATGATTAGAAGTCGCACTGTACACGTGTGAAAAAATATTATAATTCTATCAGAAAAACTTACCCCAAAACATGATTGAAGATTGAAGTCGCTGAACAGGAAATTTATTCTAAGAAATCTGCAGTTAGTTTGAAAATTAATCTAGTTAAAACACAATCTCGATTGCTAAATACAGTTTATCGCACACCAACGAAAATGAACTTCTAAAAGACACAAAATCTAACACGAAGTCGTAAGTTCTGAAATCACGCCTGCAATCGCGTGTGCCGGTGAAGATGGTGAACGAGAAGATGCGAAGATGCTGAAACGCGGGCACCGGGCAGCGGGGCGGATGTACTTCGAGACAAAGGAGGAAGCAGTCAAAATAAATATTATATTCAATATACAATATATGTGATACTAATCGGTATGATTAAAACAAAAATGTTAATATATTTAGATTAAATTTTTGAAAATAATTACAACTTTACCAAATCATTTTTGTTCCAATACGTACAAAACTTTCAGCTTACATCATCTGGCGTCAACCGAGCAACATGCGAACATAGGACAAGTACTACAAGACAATTATTTATTAATTTAATATATAAACAATTAGTCCAATTTAAAATCTATATCTCAAATGATAAAACATTTTGAAATAATCACAAAATAATACAAATACTACAAAATTAAAAAACGTTAAGTAATACTTCAAACTAAAATGAAATGCATTTCGCTAAAGACGAATGATGCATATTTTTTTAGTAGTGGGCAGTGTTGGGCAGGCAGGCCACAAGCTCTGAACGCAACTTTCGGGATGAAGTGCATTTTTTTCCTATGAAAAATCGTATATTTTCAGTTTTATTGCAATTTTTAGACTTGTTTTGTCACTCAACATTTGGTGAAAAGGGCGTAGAAAAATGTGCATGGTCAGACGGAAGAGCAGGCCTGATGGCTTGAGTCTCGCCACGTAAAATAATATATTAATTAAATTCAATTCAAAACATTAACAGTTTTTACTTTCTCGTCTACTACGTACTTGAGTGGTGAAGAGAAAGAATTGTAAATAGATAAATGTCATCATTGGTGGCGAGGCTCAGACCAAAGAGTATATATCGAGCTGAGACCGTTTGGCCTGCTCTTTCGCCAAAACACTCAAAAGTTTAATGCAAATGTAAAAGTACATAATGTGAAGAAGGTCATTGAAAGCAAAATGTTATATTGTAATATAATGATGTAGACAAAAGTGGCGATTTTTGAAAAAAAAAAAAAAACTCGCCTCTGATAACAGCAACGGGGATAAGTGAAGTCATAATGAAGTTTTGTACGTCCTTGATACCTTAACATTGACAAATGGCAAAATGTGCTCAACAGCAGCTCCTAACCCGTTCCAACATATTTGAATTTGAATAAGATTCAATTTTTTAATTTTAGAGGTACCTAAATTATATTGCGCCCCAACATTTTCAAAATGTTCTCAAAAATGGCTTCAAATGTTTTTTATTCTTTTTTTTTTTAGATAGAACAAAAGTACGTTCATAGAAATGGCGCAAGTATCATTTTCGTTAAACTATGAATGTACGAAAATTGCAAAATTTGTTCGATGTCATCCTACAACTACAATATTGAAGAGATTTTCTCTCAATACATTCTGTTCTTCAACATTAGATCTTTTGATAAAGTTAAGAAATTTTTAATTATTACTTTTCGCGTAATTTTGCTTTAAATAGAGACAATTTTAGAAACAAGATATTTTTGCAAACATATCCATTTTTCTTGACATTTTTTTTTCGAATACCACAAGCAGAGCTAAATGACGCAGTTCCCATTTTCGGCGAGTTCTCCGTAATTTCGAAAATTCCAAAACTTTCAATTTTACATCTACAATTTCAATGTTGATGATAGAGATATTTTCTTCATGACATCTGTTCTTCAAAATTAGATCTTTAAAGAAGGTTCCGGTAATTTTTTGAAAATATGAGTAGTTTTTTAGTAATTTTTGCATGCTTCTTAGTTTTGAAAGATAATAAGCAAAACAAGTAAATGTAACGCCATTCTCTGCACAATTTTTCCCGAGCTCCCTTTCACTAGACACTAGTGGAGAGGAGGGTTAATTATTTGTTAGCAGTGACTTAAAAATCAAATTTGAAATTCTCTTGTACTTTTCTTACATTTAAGTGCTGTTCGCCTGACTATTGCCTCATGCCTCATGTTCTGGTTCACCAGGACCGGAGGAAATAGGGTTTGTGCACCTTCGAGAGTTAGAACACTCTCGACCTTCTGCGCATGCACAGCTCAAGTTTCGCATCTCTTGTGCATCTGCGCATGTACAAAACATCGATAATGCTGTCCGCTGTGACGTGCACAAACTCCCTAATACGAGGAGATCCCATCTTGGCGATAGGGGCGGTTCTTTTTAAGGTTCAAATGTTCACGCAAGACCCAAACAATTGAACAAAATATAATATACACTTCTTTATTATTACCTAATTAATACCATTACCTTTTTCTGCTCCTCTTATTATAATTTCCATACCAGTATTACATTGACGAACCGATGTGGCTAAGTTGGCGTTCACGTTTTCGAAACACCTCGTTCCATAAGAACCACTGAGTACGTCACGTCGCTTCTAAGTTTTCATAGAGCGCTTTCATCGGATAAGATCACACTTCCGCCGTGAACTCCGCTTGGCGCAGCACTTATCAGACTTTGTCGTCACCTAACTCCGAGACGATGTCTACGTCGTGCTGCCAGTAAAACAGTTTCCCCGATACGATACTTCCAAGTTCTGCATCTGATGTGGATGGAGATGATCGACTTAAAATCAGCGTGTTTTACATCTCGGGTTCGAATAATGCTTTTGTTTTAGTGCCCGTGTTCAATTACTTCAATAAAAGAAGTTTGGTCCGGATCAACCTGTTCTGAAAATTGAAACAACTGTAAAATCAGCACAACAAAAGTTTCGTCGTCGATTTAGTGCTTTATTCGACATACAAGTGAGTGGGTGGAGGGAAATGTACTATTTTGTTTTAATTGCGTCTTATTTAGCAAGGAGGAAAATGTGTGGACGAAGGCCGATTATAACGACATGAACCATTTGAGCGAGAAACTTAAAAACATCAAGAGACATATCTCCATAAAAACAGTAATGTTGGACTGGCTTTACTTGAATATTGTGATTTGGCTTAGCGACAGTTATCGTCTCTCTCTAAAACGACAATGATGAAGTGCGTAAGAACAGACGTATTCTGAACTCGTATAAACTGTGTCAAATTTTGTGGTACGCAAGCTCAGCTTGCATTATGAGGGTACGACGAAAGTGGACAATCGGAAAACCTTGGGATACTTCGAGGGTTTGTGGATTTTGTTACTACCATTTACGGTGCTTTAAAAATCAACGTCAAATTCAGTACAGTACAGTTAATGGAAAGTATAAGAGAAGCTGAGCCCACGCGGCATATCATATTCCTTTCAATAAACGCAACGCCTGATACGTGGATGATGGGCAACTGCTTTTGGTTATTTAAAGCCGCATCAACTTCTAGGTAATTAGCAACCACTATTGCGTGTAATGCTATGGCAATTATGAGAATGACACTATATGATGATAGGGGTGTGACAGGACGAACACATGCCCGAGGTGGGCATGTGTTCGTCCAACATGAGCAGTACCTTTATTTCAAGTAATACTGCAAAATAAAGTGTCGGAAGAATTTTTTCCAGGAGTCTACAAACGTCTTTGAATTCTTGTCACTACTCCAATGACTTCTTCAGAAGCTGAACGATAATTTTCAACAAAAATTGATAAAAACATTCCATAATGACAACCGAGCGATCGCGCACCCTCGCAATCCTGTCAAATACGAGTAGAGAAGCGACTGATCCGTGAAACCAGTAACTTCAATGAATTAGTAATGGAGAAATTTGTTCATCTGAAAAATCGGTGATTGGATTTCCAATTCAAGTAAACAAGGAGCGATTACCATTTCCTCACTTCTGGGTAGATTGGTAAAACTGATAATAAATGTCTCGTTGTCAATGTTGCCTAATTAAACTATTGTAACATGAAGACTACGTTCAAAAGAGTCACGTTCAAAAGCAATAAATTAGAAAATAAGCATTATTTTTCAAGATTGGTTATTAATATATTACAAATATTAATTTTCTTCACAAATTCTCTGGTCAGGTCGCAACAGTCAGTAGCATAGTAGACATCGATTGGTTGGCGATTGGTTCCGCACAAAATATTAAAAAGTAATCGGGATCTCGAATATTATAACGAACGTACTAGAAGGCTGAAATGCAAAGTAAAAGAAGTGTAAAATATGAAAAAGATAGGAAGAAATTGCTTGGAAAAGATTCGCGTTTCGGTAAAAGAGCTATTAAAAGCGAAGAAGTTTGCGCAAGAAGAAAATACAGAGAAAATACAAAATACAAGAACAAAACAGAAAAAACAACTACAGTCAGAACAGGAGGCGGAAGATCCGCTAGCAACGGCATGGAGAAAGCAAACGCCCTTCGATGGGCGCAGAAGGGCTTCCAGCCGTTCGATGTCGTTTTGGAGCAGAACTACCTTTCAGGTACCATACGCGCAAGTTTTCTTGATATTGCTAGAAATGCTATGATTGTTTCGAAAGTACGGAATGGTTGTTGCCAGCATTGTATTGTAGCGTCGTGCCACGCTCAAACCGCCGGATGTTGAACAAAGGGCGGAGTGATGGCGCACTGGGACTTTCCGTGGACGTAGCGGGCCCAGAGTGGCTTTGCGGAAGAGGCAATGGTGGCGGCGGGTAGAGCCAAAGGGCCTATATAACGGCCAGAAGAACAATGCCCCAGCCTTCTTGTGCTAGCGACGTCGGCGACAGGTGGAGCGCGTGTCTGTGCTTGTAGGTGCACTAGGGCGAGGGGCCGGCAATTCATTTTCGTGACGTGCGAGATGCGTAGATGGTCTCAATGTAGAGCGGCTTCATACAGGGAACAATGGCGGTTATTTGCGGTGTGGTAGCCGTTCTTAAATTATCTCTCCTTGTAGTGGGTCTATTTATTTAGTTTTTTGTGAGCAGGGTAGCTGTTAAATCGAGACTACGGTCTAGATTGTTAATAAATCCACTGTTTTGCAAATCACTCTCGTCTGTGTACGATTACACTCGTATGGCGCCACAGTATATTGGTACGTGTCGTCCTGAGTCGAACCAAAGCATCCGAACGTTCCGTGGTATCCAGCGCTGGGTGAGGACTAGGGAGCTCGTGTATTAAAAGAACTTGCACGAGTAGTAAAGAGCTGCACACTGCTCGGAGAGGTCGGAAGCATCTGAGCCTTGACCTTGTTGACCTGGCCAACGCCTTCCAGGCCGCGCCTCACGCTGCTCTGGAGGCGGCATTGTGCAAGGCTGGTGACGGTGCCCCGTTCCTCGCAAAATGACGTGTCGTGACGATACGACAGGGCTGCACACTTAGCGGGTTGTTATACGATTTCGTTATTGATGCGGCCTTGTGTGTTCTAGAGAAAGAGACAGACGAACCCCCCTCCCGGTATTCCCCTAATACGACGACCTGGCGTTGCTCATCCCGACACCGGGCGAACTGCAGGATCTAACAGCAGGCAGAACTAATTTCAAATTCAAAATTTTCTAGATTTTTGGGAAAAGGGCTTCGTAGCGTAAATTCTATTTTAAAAATGCGTCAAATGCCGTTTACAGATCGAAAATCGGGCTATTGGTTCAGACGTTATCAGTAAAGTAAATTCCCCTGTGATAGTGCTGCGATCTATTGAATTTTCCTACAAGTATTTTTCGGTGCATTTAGCCTTAAAGAAGCACTACTATTCTATCAGACGTAAGTATATTAAGTCAATACCTTTTCAATTTCAAAATGGTTCAAAATAAATAATATCACGAATGAATGTGTCTAAGTTGCTAACTTCTAAAAAAATGAAATGTATGAAAGATTACGATTCCCACGGCATCTCACAGAGGCTGCCTTGCTGTTAAGCCTAGTAAGTGCGATCGACGATTTCGGCAGCGCGGAAGGAGGTCCCGACGACCTTCTACGCCGGAGGGATTGAGGTATCAAAAAGGTGAGGCAGATAGGTACCTAGGCCACCCTGAAGATTTCAACGTAGTTGAGACCTGGGAGGCTCTTCAAGTGCAGGCGCCCCCCCCCCGGCAGACACAATTACCTCATTATATTTTCTGGACTGACAGAAAATGAATACTTTCGAGCAGTTCGTCCTCTCAGACTGTTTTCCACTGCGCGTGGGCAAGTACGAGAAGCAGATGCTTGCTGTGTACGACAAAATGGTGTGGCATACCAACTCCTTTCCCTTTCCCATAACGCTTCAAACGCGTTCATCTACGCTTCTAAAGTTGACAGAGCGGGGTGTCCACAAACCGAGAGCGAGCGTTATCTGGAGGTTGGATGCTGCATTTAAAATGTTGACTAGTTGGGAAGACCAGTTGCGCCGGAGTGCAAACGCGGATGCCGTCCAGAAGGTGGCACCCGCCGAGGTGCGCGCGTGAGAGCACGTGCCGGGTGCGCCACTAGCAAGACGTCATTTCAACACCAACTCTCGCGCCGTCTCAAGATCGAGTGGCTGCCTGCACGCTCTGCCGACGGATTTCCACGCCTGCCCTGCCCTGTCGTCTGGCAGCCCCCACACCATCACAGGTAGTAGGTGGACCGGCTTCCCCCAGGCTCTCCCGACGGCCTTCACGCCTGCCCTGTCGTCTGGCGGCCCCCGAACGACCACAGGTAGTAGGTGGACTGGCTGCCCCCGGCTCCCCCGACCGTAAAGTTGTATCGTTCGCCGAAGATTCGGGCCGTGTCTCTCGAGGGCTTGTTCGCCGAGCGAAGCGCTGACTCAACTCACATGCTGACATATGGGATGACGCACCATGAAATTGGCAATATTATCTGTTATTGTGAACTATTTTATCGCCATGTGGCTCGGAGCTCTAAGGATCAGGACAATCCCCACGTTTTAAATTAGAAAACATGTTGACACCGCCCCGGAAGTCCGCCTTCTTTTCTAAAAACTGCCACAAATGTTTCCACAATTATTACTTGCGCAACTTTTCTTGAACGATGACCTTGATCCCCCTCCCTTTTGCAATAAACTGTTGAAAGCAAAAGCTCGCAGCGGGCACTGATGACAACCTTCCAAGCATTAAAACTTCGTTGGCGCGAGACAGAAGCTAGTCAAAGCCAGTTGCTTTCATAGTGCAGAACCCCTGTTCAGATTTATTGTCAATATCGAAAGAAATGGCTGAGTCAGATCCAGGTCCTTCAAGGGAGTCACCTAAAACTCACGAAAAAGTTAAGCACAAGATGCAGTTTTGACTTTCATTTCACAGACGTTGGCATTACTTAAAATACTCTAGTGGCCGACTTTGTAACTCCACCCGAAATCGTCAATCCATCGTTCAAGAAAAGTTGCCCGAGTAATACCATGACGATACATAAAAGGACTGCTCAAGATGCTCCGTTGTCAGTTCCGGCGAGAGCCACGCCAGATGCCCACGCTACACTACTACTACTACGAGAAGCCGAGCCGAAGAAGATGACGTCAGCGACAACTCTATCCCCCGCCGCTGTTGAATTAGCAATCAATGAACGGTGGAGTGATGCGGCAAAGCAGCCGTCGCTGTCGAAATCGACCCCCCATCGTCATCCGTATTACGTTTTTCATCTCTTCCCTTTCCCCTCTGATTCTCCCCCATATCTCTCGTCTTCTCACTCACGCAATGCAGTAAATAAATATTATTATTCGTACTCGTAGACTTTGGGCTCATCACGACTTCTTTCGCTCGCCCTCTCAATGCATAACAAACAGTGGCGGCTGGTCCCTTTAAAAAATGGGGGACTGTAAGCAAAAATAGAAAATGCATTTAGATATGTTCAAAACCGGTGTCGGTGTACTGCGAGCTTTTATAACGCATTTTGTCTCGCAGAGTTAAGTTTTTAAATTTCACATTTTTTTAATATTGAACAGAATTACAAGGCGTATCTACTCTAAACACAACTACAACAAACAGTACGTACTCTCTCCCCCGTACTTCCACGCAATACTCGCCCCTGCGCGAATAGTACTCAAAATTGTACATGACTTTATTTTAAATTCTATCTATAGGGAAAATATTTCATTCATGAAAAAATCTCTATCTTCATTTTTTTTAATTTCTAGGCAATCTATGAAAAAATGTTGAACTCTTTCAATTTTCAAAAAATATGAGTTTTTAACGAAAATAAGACCAGCGCTATTCACTTAAACATCCTTCACACTATCCAACAATGACATTTAATCATAAACTCAATTCTGAATATATCAATTTAGAAGAAAATCTGAACGTTTGAGCTGTTAGCGTTGTTCACGGACGGACGAATGGTCAGATATATTTAGCCGTCATTCGATTTTTCGGTATTAATCAAAACATGGATTCTGGCTACATGACGTGACACAGCATATTTTATTTTAATATCAAGCAAAAATTAAATAATTCTGCCAAGGACTGGGATGCTGCAGGCACGCAGCTCACCTCCACCAGCCGCCACTGATAACAAACCACTAAGTAAACAACCACAGTACTCCCATAACCTGAGCGCACCTCTTTGGGAATACGCTGTAACTGATCAGCTTCTGAAGGGGCTCGGACGGCATATCACACATACGGGAACTTTCTCTACGCTTAACTTACCTTAAAGAACATGCTTAAATGTGTGTCCTTCGATTCGAATGCATTCTTGCACCTCCGGAAGATATTCTGATTCTTTTTCCTTATGAAGCGTCGTTTCATCTGAGTGGATACATCAATAGCTAACACAAGCGCTATTGAAGAGTGGAAAACCTTCACCTTCTTCACGAAGAACTACTTTATGACATAAAGATTGGAGTTTGGTATGCGTTGATTTCTACAGGTATTACACGACCTGTTTTATTTCACACCACCATTACAGCAGATATTTTCATAAATCAGATATTGTCATTTTTCTCCGAACAATGACACCAGAAGAAAGGCTCTGGTTACTTTCAACCGGATTTGGCAACTGTTCCCATTGCTGTTCCATCCTGGCCACATTGCCTCCTAGATCACCTGATCTGACACTTTGTGACTTTTGGCCTTTAAAATAGTAGAAGTATCCAACAGTATGGATGCAGAAAACCCGCATTTGGAGAAAGAGAACCGGCGCTTTACTGAAGAGAAAATTCCTCGAGATTTACTTTAAAGGTTAAATCAAAATATGTTTTGGAGGAGCCAAGAATGCATTCGAGCCGAAGGACACCACTTTCAACATCTTGTTTAAGGTAGGTTAAGCCCAACAATAGTTCCCGAAGGGGAAGGGAGTTGAGTCGGGGCTTCGCTGGGCGAGTGAGACCTTGACTCCCCGGGCCCGAATCTTCGATGAGTAATAAACTGTAAACCCGGTATATTCTCATTTCGTAACAAGAACATCCTCACAATTCCGCAAAAACTTGATTATCTTCCTCTCATTTCGAGATATAATCATCGTCTATCTATTATTCTACAAAAGACAAATTGTAACTGACGCAGATAAATATGCCCCTTTCGCGGCCCCTTCTATGCCTCCTGCTAAACGTCGTGTAGTCCCGCTGAAAGATTCCACCGCTGTGAACATCATTTGCAAGCCATGGTTCTGCCCCTATTATTACGCCAGGATTGTAAATATCATCTAAATTTCTAGAATTAGAAGCTTTATTGAACAAACTTTTGGAGCACAGGTGATTAACCCATAACCGACCCTCTCGTGTCTATTTGAACCTATTACCACCGCTGTCGTCGCTGTCGCCGCGCGTCTGAACGTTGGCACTTTTCATAGCAGATGAAAGGGCATACGAATCTAAATCTTTCATACATTTCATTTATTTTTTACAAATTAGCAACTTAGACACATTCATAAGTTCGTGATATTTATTTTGAACCATTTTCAATTTGAAAAGGTATTGACTTGATATACTTACGTCTGATAGAATAGTGGTGCTTCTTTAAATTAAATTTGTGAATGTGATGCGCAGCCAGGACATAAACAAACGGAAAGGAAGCAAATTTCATTGTAAAGGCGTTTGGTCTGGCTTTTCAAACGTGGTGCTCGTGCTGTGGTCACGTGGTTCGTAACGCGCTGGTGTTGCGCAGAACGAGCAAAAATCGGTGAGCCGGAGGAACTCACCCATGTGTTTTCCATCCGGACGCAAAAAGTCGATTTAAGTTGTTTCTTATACGGCGCGATGTCGCTGAAGATGGGTTTGGCCTAATTATTTATACGTGCGAATTATTAATACGTGTGTTTGAAGGAATCAGCTGTTTACGGTTTCATCCAATCGGAACACTGTAGCTACGTTGCTATGCAGACATTCAATTCCCTATTGGATGAAACAGTCACCAGCTAATTTCCTTCAAACGCACATATAAATAAATCCAAGTATAGCTCACGATGTTTTTTGTTCATCCCCCCAACCATTCCTCGAATACCGGAGTTCGAGTCTTCCCTAGTTCCCGAGTCCCCCTACACGTGCTTTGCAATCAGCTTGCAATTCAGCATAACCCAGGCATAACCTGGGCACAACCAACATAACCATAACTGACCTTAACCTAGAGCAACCTGAATTTTGTCCAGTGCTGCAGCGCCGAGAAGCGCTGTTCACTGAACATTGCTCAGAAAGACTTGAAAATACCTAATGCTGAGTTATGTTTAGCAGTATTTCATAAATACATTGCAAAAAGTGTTCACTGTGGGCTGCACAAACGATCAAACCAAAAACAAACTTTAACACGAAATTTAGTGGAGGCTCTTATTCCGATGAATATATTTTTGCGTTAAATCTATTTGGATGTGATGGTTGTTACTGTGTCATTGATAGTTATTCTACAGTAAATACTTGAAAATAGATTTTGTAATTAAAATGAATGTTCAACAAAATTTTCACGTCCCAATTCTGTGTACTGGTGACGACAAAACTATTTCTGACGAGAATCAGTGTCAAAATAAGGTACAAACAATAAGTGGTAACTCGAAGTCAGTGAAGGTTTTAGAAGAATTTAAGCGCATATACTTGGAACGTCTACGCAAGATTGAAGAGGAAACCCCAGAAGAAGGGGCAGAGGTTTGCATAATTAATATTGGGTCCCTTTTGATTGTCGCTTCCTTGAATAGCTGTAGGGTTTTATATATTTTAGTTTTGTAAACCTGTTCTTACTTGAAAATTATTAAATATTACTTAGGTTCCTATATGTTAAGAACCTTCAGAATGATGTGCGTAGCTAATAAAAATGTGAATCATTAAAAAAATTGATAAGTAAAGTTGGAATCAGCCTCTTTCTGGGTTACATTTACTGTGTTTAGTGTAGTACATCCACTTTAATTTATGTTAGTTTGTGCAATAAAATATGTTAGTTTTGTGTATGTGGGTGCTACAATTATGAAGCTAGTTTTATAATAATTGTCGTTAGTTTCCTCTCTTGAATGAGAGCCTTTGATGACCCAGTAAATGATATTACACTAACATTTCTTAAGAATATATTTCCCTTTAACCATCTTTTAATATAGCATTTTATTTTAATAAGATACCTACTTCATTAATACTGTAACTATCAGAAAATAAAATAATGCTATTCTTTATTTTTGTTGATAACAGTTGAAATTGAAGACCCTCACATCGTGGATAAATGATTTAGGTGAACAAAACCTTATGTTGGTTGAAACAGTTGAGCAGTTAGAACAAGAAGCTGCAGATAGAGTTTTGTTGTTGGAAGAAAGATTGAAAAAGTCATCCCATATTGCACTAGAGTATTTGTCTAAACTAGAGGAGTATGATAATCAATTTTTAAATCAGACTTTTGAAAAAGATCAACCAACAATGCTACCGATTGTAAGTGAAGCAGTTCGGTTATAATGTGTGATGAGCTTCAAAAAGTGTGCAGTTGAACGAGTATTCAATTTCTGTTTTAGAAAACATCAAATCGATTAATGCAAGCCCAACAAACTGAAGAGATTTTGAAAACAAGGATCAGTAATCTTCAAAATGATATCTCTGGACTCTTGGAGCTGATACGAAGAGCTCGTTATGAGGGATCTTGGGATACAAATGGTCTCAGTTTTTTGGAAGTGACATACGAAGATATTTTTGGATTGTACCCACACCAGTAAGTGTTATAATGAAATAATTCTTTAAACTTTATTCTAACTATAAGTTCTTGGTTTTGATGTGCTTCTTGTTACTCATGTGTTAACTGATATATTTAATACATTCATTAGTACTAACTTAGTCAGAAATTTAAAATAGTCTCTTATGATTTCTGTTTTAGGGTTCGTGCACATAACTGCAAAAGTTTTATCTGTAGAATGTTTGAAATCCTAAGTGCTGGTCTACATGTTTAAGATGAATTATGCTGAATCTGATGAGTATTTGACTAAATAAATTCTTTTATTGTAAGCTATAGAAATATCAAGAAGGTAAAATACTGTATTTACCTTATTGTAAGCCGACAGTTTTTCCCCTTTTTTATATTTCAAAAATTGACCCTTGGCTTATAAACGGTATCATCGTGTTGCTATAATGCAGCTGACATCAGACATCCATAAAGATATCTAATTTTTGTCAGCCTTGCAACCGACACAGAAAGTATGGATAAAACCTGCATAAAGCCACTACATGTCTTAATGTGAAATATATAATTGTCTGATTAAAATTCTGATTGGCAGTTGCGGTAAAGCTGTGTTGCCTTACTTGTGATATACACAGGGTTCCGGCCTCCAAGCCAGGGACCAACCCCAGCAGTCATTCTTTTGCAGTGATAGTGTATCACAATGTGTGCTTGGATAGATGATGCCTGGAAGTGTATTCCTAGATAAGTTGTCGCAAGGGCTTTTAAAAAGTGTTCAATTTCAAATGCCCTTGACGGCAGGGAAAACGACTTTCTTTTCATGGACAAAAGTGACAGAGTTAAGAGAGGAATCTGAGTCATCCAATGCTGGCATCTGAGTCAATGATCTTTAAAATGTATAGAAATCAATGGCTGTGTGCGTTAACCATCAGATGTGTTTCTTATGTTTAATTTTATTTTTTTCTTTGTTATTTCATTCATTAGTTCTTGGGATCGTCTTACAATCGTGTCGGCTTATAATCAAGTAAATATGGTAATAGTGGTTTTATTATGAATAGGGGATAAGTGAAAAATGATTCAAAAGTACTTTAAGAATCGGGCGAGAGATTTGTCATTATATTGATAGGCTGATGTATGTTAAGAAGGCAAAGGGTATAGTGGCCATTAGTTTTTTTCTGCAACTGTCTGCCTTGTGCACATTTCATTGATGGTATAAATGCTGCATCAGGATCATAGGTGTGCACAGTGTTAAGAAATGTGAGGGCCCAAGTCTTATTCGTGAGCCCCTTTTTCCTTGGAATTTTTTTAAATTCACACAGTAAATTATACTAGTAAATTTATTTATTAATGAAATAAACTACAAAGAGAATTAAATGACAATTTAAATGATTAATATTAATTAATACAAATGGTTTTATTTGAACTATTTACAGGTTTTGCTAAAGCTCTTCCCCAAATGTTGTAAAACAAATTCACTTATTTATTTTTAGTGTCAAAATAATTTTAATTTTTGGGAACAAATTATTATGATTAATAACGCTATGTACGTTGTAATTTATAAAGTGTGTTGTGCATAAAACAATAGGCGTGGTGATGACCTCAGCTGCTTTGAAGGTCTAAAATAAATACAATTGTAAAGAATCTGTAATTGTGAGGGGAAAAGGAAAAAAATATGGATTAAAAATATTTACAGAAATAAAATGTTTTATCGCATTGGGCCCTGTTTAAAAAGGTTCAGGAGGGGCCATGGACCTCTGCCCCCCCCCCTCTCCCCATCTGCGCACACCTATGATCTGGCGACTTCATCACTGACAGCTTGATTTCATATATTGTATTTATTTATTTGTTTTAGATCATTGTAGAAACAATTAAAAGGCATTAGTGACCACTACTATTTGGAGCATAAGTAGCAACCTTTTAAAAATTAGATACAGCACATACAAACAAAAAAATAATGAATTATGTTAATTTTTCACAATAATTAAAATGCGGTTTAACTCGACCTATCTAAGTAGCTAGAAAATTCTGCCATTGTCGGGACTTGAAAATTGGACCTCCCAGTCAGATGCACTGCAGTGACATCAACTGATGTCTTGAGCCATGCAAGCTGGTTTCTGTACGAAAATGCTGCATGCACAGAAGACACCAAGAACAGGGTCTCCTAAAGCACATGGTGGAAAGCATATTGCTGCAACTGCTTGGGTACACATGTCTTTATCTCTTGAGAGAGAAGAGGAAAGATATGAATCACTGTGCTTGGCTATTCAGAAAGTGTAGTGGAAATTTATTTCATATGTATAATTATTTTAGTTTATTAAATGTTTACAACAGGCTAAGTTACTGCGTTTACTAGATGAGGCCGACAAAAATAAAAGGCAAAATGGACTTCTACTTGACACCGTTACTGACTATACTTCGGTTTTTATTGTCCCCTATACGTAAGTATATATGAAGTAATATACCTAGTACAGAGAAAATTATGTAATGCTGCGGAAAATCAATTTCGAGTTTTTGAACTCAAATACACGTTTTGGGGTCTCCTGATAATGAAAAAGTGTTGTTGTTGTTGTTGTTGTTGTTTTTAATCTTTGAGGTTTAAAAAAAAAAGCTTTAAAATTTGGTGGTACTTTACATGAAACTCCCCAGACATTTTCAAAATGTTCTCAAAAACGGCTCCAAATTTTTTTTTTTTTTTTAATATCTTGAAAGAATAGAGTAACATAGTCTTATAAAGGTGACCTAGGTCCGATTTTCACAGTTAACTCTGAATTTTTCCTTTTTGAGGATCATTGAACTAGTAAGGTGTCAATGTGATCTGGTAAGGTGTCAATAAATTTTATTTTGATTGTGATTTTGAGTGTTTCAATGCTTGTATTCTAGATTACAGACAATTTGGAAAGTGCTGACCATTTGAAGACAACAAAGAGTGTGTCACAGCAGAAAATTGCAAGAGCTTTAGAAGATAACATTTTAAAAGACCAGTAAGTTCAATTGATTTAGCAAAATACAAGTAAAGATACCTTTTTTGTGCCTATTGATGTTTTTATAACTGTTATTATGGTGATGGTTTCTGAATAGTTTGTTATTTACGAAAGAATATTAATTTAAATTTTAATATCTTCAGAATTTTGGTTGAAGTGCCTGTCATTCTTTACATCTGAGAACGTGAAAATTAGTCAGTTTAGATCAGTATGCTTAGTGTGTTATCACATTGTTTTGTTTTAAATTTACTTTAAACTTTGTTGATAATATTTGTTTAATTTTCTATAAATTTGCATGTTTATTTATGATGGTATTGGTAGTGGCATACAATTTTGTAACGGTTGACGTCATCTCTCATACTCTAGTTTTCCTTTCTTTTTAATTTCTGGTATATGTACTAATATACATATAAGGAGTAATATACATAGATATTGTGGTAACTTTCTTTTTCCTCAAATGGAACCACGCATCTTTTCAGAGGTTATCATGATGAGCTCAAAAAGACGAATAATCCACATATTGCCGTAAATTAGAAAAGCATTTTGTGAGTGATTTTTTTTTGTCTCTTGTTTAATAGAAATTTTTAATGTAATGGATAATGGTTCGTCAATGAATATCACGCAACAATCCACCTAGTAACGTGAGCTCGGGAAAGTGAAGTTGATCGTCGTAACCTTGCGTTTCACCTTTCATTATCTTCACATTTTTGTCATAATTATGTATTAAAGTAAAATTGTTTGTTACTTCAACCCAATTTAATGGAGGTGACATACCACACAATGTTAATGGTATCTTGGAAACAAAATACAATAAGAATAAATTATGGCGGTACAAAGAAGGACCATGCTGTTTTTAAGAACACGCCCTGCCCTCTACCCGAACGTAGCGACTAATCTCTCGACCATGAAGTTCCTGGGACGTTGGATCGGGTGTGGTGCTGACCCGTAAGTTCCCAAGACTTGTCACCTTCGGTTTTTTTTTGCTTTGGGAATTTTTAAAAACATCGTGTACCAAGAGTCTCCAACCACAGCACAAGATACTCGTAGACGAATTGTAGCTGCATGTTCTGAAGTTAAAAAGTAAACGCTGCGAACGTTTATTTCCACCAACGCTTACAGATGGCGAAGGCCTTCTCACAACCTCCTCCTCACGCTTAATGTGATTTAATGGGGAGCGTACCAGATTCGTCTTCAGCGGCTGCGTAGAATATTTATTCGCTTATTATTGGACAATGGCAGTATAGTTTACGGGTCGACTTCTGTACCCTTTGCTTTTTGAATACTATTCACAACGCTGGCCATCACTGCCCAAACCTCCAGGCTTTCGTTTCCAGAAATTGCTAGAGGATCTAAATGTCCACTTCCCTTCACACATGAAACCCTTCGGCAAAACTATTCCTCCCTGGAAACCTTTTCCCTCTGTAGACAAAAAAATTCAATCTCCCTAAATGCACTATTCCTCCCTTAGTGTGCCTGAAACACATGAGTTGAGACTAGCCTATCCTGGCCACACTTTCCTTTACTATGAAGGCTCTATCATGAATGCTTCAGTGGCCTGTACGTTCTCGTTTCGAAATCACCCTTTCTGTAGCGCATTCTCTACCGAGAAGTGCGCTGTGCTGCAAGCCCTGAAATATGTCGAATCAGTTTCGCCTCTAGTTGTATGCAGTGTTGCCCGTAGAGCACTTCAGTCACTCTTAACCCTGTTTCTCTTTGACCATTTGACAGTACATACCATCTGTTGTTTCACCATTTCAACCTACTACTTTGTTGGGTCCCGGGTTGTATGGAAAATACAATGATCGAGCTGGTCAGGCCTCAAAGTCACTTATTTATATTCCCTATGTATGTAGCCTACGATATTTGACAAAATCTGTAGTTTGACTCAGTCGACCAAAACATTTGGAATTCCCCCTCCCAAAATTCGTCTCTGGATCCGCCCATGCTAATTTAGACCCTTTTCTTCTTTTTAGGGGGACGAAAGCGCAGCCAGGAAGCGTGGCGGGCCCGCGCGTGGCCATTGGGCTCTCGGAGAAGGCAGAGCAGCTACAGAACAGTTCCTACGAAAGCCCCAAGGAGGTAGGCAACGAACATTTGCATTGCGCGTTTCATCCGTATCTCGGCGTGTCACACTTGAGTGAATTCAGCGAAGAAGTAATTTTGGTTAAATTGGCTCTTTCTAACCACAGAAAAACAGCGCCTCCATTCTTCTAAGAGCGACGAACAACGATGTACTCGGAAGTCCAGCGGAAGAAAGTCGAAATGAAGCCTGTATCTACGATTACTCAATGTGAAATTAAGAAGTTTAAATCCAATTACTATGAGAATTCTTTTGGAGTACCGTTTGTTTTTATTCTTTGCCGATGTCCTTCAGGGGGAAGCTTAAGCTTGTTGGGACCTGAGTTGTTGCACCCGCCTAGAGTGGCAATAGAGTTCTGGATTTGGAAGACGAATTCAAGCATTCTTTGCACTCGAACTGTGATCTCGTGCGCGGGATGTTTGAAATGCATGATCTTAGCTCTTAATTTATGCCAAGGGAAACTTATAATTATTTATTAGAGGTTAGGCGCCAAATTTGAATGAATTTTGCCGTATATGTGGTAACACCTTATCACTGAATCAGTTTGGTGAAATCTTTTCGAAGAGTAGAAATCACACTTATTGTGATGTCGGATAAGTATTAACTCTCTTGCGTTGGAATTTTTGAAAAGAGACCTTAATTTTGATGGTGAAAACAATAAAATTATGAAATACAGAAACTATTAGTAAGTTCAGAGACAACTGCACAGAAATTTGTATTGCAATTTATTGGAATCTAACCAAGTATGTCATCTAATTAGAATTTGTGTAAGTGGAAGAGGTATGTGAGGGCTACTTCTTTAACTAGAGGAACTGCAGTAATACTTTCTCGCATTATTGGAAAGAGTTACGTAATATTGAAATATATAATTGTTTTTAGTACATCAGAAATTGTAATTTCTGCCGTGGTACAAACTTAGTTATAACTTAAAGTAAACGTCCACTACTTCAAAAGAAGTGCCTTTGGTGTATATCTGCGTTCGTTTCGATAGCAAAGAACAGTAGTCATTTCTAACATTTACAAATGAAACACATGAATAAATTGAACCGTTATAATATTTGCAGAGCATTATTCAGGAAAGAAAGCATAATATTTCACACAAGCTTGCCTTGATTACATTGAATTGAGAAAACAATTTCTGAATGCGATGTCAGCGATCAGAACTTCTTAAAGTAAAAGAAATGTATGTGTCCTACGATCAATAGATTACCTTCCTTCAATCTATTTCCCTTCATAAGAATTTTATCTTGACCATATGATTATCACGACCGGAAACAATGAGAAACAGTCGTGTTGCCATTTTGTGAACTGACAGCGCGTCAAACAAAGCGCAGGAATTTGGAATTAATCATTTCGATTTTCTCCCTATTTTTGAAAATACGAAGATTGCGCTGAAAATGGAACCAGCACCACTTTCTTCAAAGTTCTTTGCAACATACATGGAAACAAAATTAAAGAAAACATTGGAGCCGTCTTTGAGAAAATAATTGTTTAAAATTTAAAAATTGCCTGTGTTTCAAGCACAATAATGCAAAGAATATATGTATTTTAAAAAATGGAACATGACCTTGTATAAAGATTTGTTTTTCATGAACACATTTCATTAAGGAAAAAAATATCTTCATAATTTTTGTTTTAGAAAAACCCCGAAAAAATTGAATTTTTGCAATTTCCGAAAAATCAAAATGAATATTTTAGTAGAAAAAGATATGTTTAGTGATAGTAAAACAGAAGAGATATACCATACAAAATTTAATAAAATATGAACAATAACTTTACTGTGAAGAAAACATGATGCAAAATCGCGGAAGTAAATGCGAAGTTCGTAAATATGCTATATAAAACCCACACTTTTATTTTATTTTCATCATGTCTTGTGGTCATTTCATCATACGCATAATACAGAAAACATTTTTTATTATTTTTATTTATTTATTTTTTTATAAACTTTTGAGCCATACTCCTTATCAAATGGTAGCACATTAGCCGCGAAAATTTAATTGATTCATCAGCACAAATTCGACAATACAAAACTCGTTCCAACCCAGAAACACCGCCTAACAATGCGAAGTTATTCTGCGAACTTCAAATCGGCTTTCCCATTGGTGTATACGTGATAACTCTTAAAAGATTGTAGGAAAAGAAGTGTGAAAGATTCGAAAATTTCAAAATTACGCCGACCCACTCATGTTTAAAAAAATGTGCATTACCTTTTTCAAAGAACTGATTTTACTTTATCGTTTTAGAGTAGATTTCATTTATAAAAAAATCTCTGTAATCAATATTGTACTTTTGCAATTAGAGTCCAGTAGAAAAATAATACAAGAATTTGGGACCAACACAATTTTCTTTATTGTTTTCTTCTGCATACGAGGAAAAGAAATTAAAGAAACTTAAGGTCCTACAGCAGTATATACTTTCTCGCACCATTGGAAACGGTTACGTTAGCACTTAACAAGAAATTTGTCATAAAACGAACAAAATTTGGGTTCAATCAAAAAAATGTATAAGGATATACACAAATCTCAGATAACATGAATTTTTATAACAAGAAGACCAATTATTTCAGTCCCTTGGAGTTCAAGTAAATGAGGGTTTACTGTATTGAAATATTGCTACTTCTACACTATTAACACTTCAACTATAACTTAAATCCAATTCAACAAATTTAAACAAAGTGCCTGTGGTGCATATCTGCTTAGCCACATCATCACATCTACATTTCCGTGTTGTAGTATGTACAGCGTAGTACTTTTCTGTTGTAATTTTGTCTCTTCCTTTGTGGGTTGTAATCGCTCATGTTCAGCCAATAGAAAATTAGATTACTAATATAGTCCTTTAATAATGCAATTACAGCTCGATAATTTATATGTATGCTTGTAGATGTCCCTTGGAACAAAAATGTTAGATGTGGACACTTCTAAAAGAACTCACGTTCAGACAGACAACCAAAAGCTTGAAGCAACACCATTGAAGCAAAGAATAACGGGCTCAAGCACAGAGGTTTGCAAAGTAGTGTAGACCTGTGAAAGCAGTTTCTATTGTAATGCGTTTCCCAATTTTGTTTGACTTCAATTGACTAATCTTCATTAGGAAATGGAGACATTCTTGTTAAGGAGAAAAGCAGAACATTCTGCTGCTCAACTTCAAAGATTGAATGAAGAAAATCAACGATTAATAAAGGAAAATAAATTTCTATCGACTAACCTGAAGAATAAAAGTGATAAAATAGCTCTTCTGGCACAACATCGGACTGAAGTAGATGAGGTATGCTGACAGGAATCTTTGATTTCACAGATTCTTGGAAACAATACTTAAAATTAAATGAATTATTGGGTGGCTTTGGGAATTGGGATAGGGTAGCTTTGGGGGTTTTTGAGAATTCTGAATACAGTAGAAATCGAGTTCGTTATAGCTGATAGTCATTGTAAGCTATTTTGGTATTAAGGGGGGTGCAATAATAAACGCTTTGTACATAAACATTAAATTTTTATTGCATATTTTCCCACAGTGAGAGATGGAAGTTGCACAGTCTTAATCAATATGTATGTTTTTTTTTTCAATTTAAAAACAGTAAACTGAAAAATACAGTATTCAAAACGTAAAATTATATTATACAATGAAGAAAACTATTTTTGAAGAAAAAAAAACAACAACAACAACAAAACCAGTAATTTCAGCTGGCTTCAACGAATGTGTTGGGTAGTTAATTGTCTCCATATCATTTTCTACGATATTAAGATCGTATCTTCATTCAGGCTTCAGTATATCTTTGAATGAAAAGAACGAGAACGATATATGAGTGTAACTCTCAAGAGCCTCGTGTGGTTAATACAGATTATATATATATATATATATTAGATATATATTAATATATATATATATTATATATAAATATATAATATAGTAGATATTATACACACACACACACAACGCCACATGCCACACAAACGCAACATTAGTGTGTCTGTTCAATATTGTTATGAGCGATAATATTGTAGACTTTGTTTTGCAAACCAAGATGGTGGGGCGTGTCGTGGATTAATTACGTAAAAAATGATGGAGGTGTCGTTTACGTTTTACGGAACGTTGGCGAACTGCGCTCTAGTAATTTTACTCCGTATTGATATTCTTGGCATTTCGTCTACTGAGAAAACGTTTTAGATATCAATGTGTTATAGTGTAGCTAAATACAAGAAAACTAAACTTAAAAACGTCCTTTTTAAGACTGCTATTTTTCGTGATAGCATGTTGATTTAAATTTAGTTCTTTGCGAATTTAATCTAAAAGTGGTGAATTGCAAACTGTTTGAAATCGGCATGTCAGGTTAACTTCTGTTGATAAGACATTACACGAAGTATGTTCTTTCTGGTTTTGGACGTGAATTTATATTAATTCTATCAATATTTTTTTAGATGTGTATAATAGGATTTTTATTCTTGGCGGCGTGAGGTCCGTTCTTCTACGATGGCGATATGTCACAGCATTTCGGCGTAGTTTCTCGATCTGCCGCCTAGATATCGCGTGATCATTCAGCACTTTCGGTCGCGATCATGCGATATCGTAGCGCCACGCCGAGAAAGGCAGCAACGAAATGCCCGTTGAGTATTCATCGTGAAGACAGGCCCCCCACGCCCAAGAAAGTAAAAACAAATTAAGTCGAGGTAAGGTTTGCATAACACAGCTTCAGATTCCTCTTACCTTCTTGAGATTCTTCGTTGGACTCCAAGGACAGCCACGTACGGTACATGGCAATGTGGCGCAATACCACCTTTTAAGATTAAAGAAAATAGGATTGTATTAAGCCTGGTTTCCTCATCCCGTGCTGCTTAGCATAACCCCAAGCACGGAGGGCATTCCCCAAAGATGAGGTCTCCAAGTGCTAATCTCCGGGAAACTGTTGTCCAGTTTGTAAAAACGTATCAAATTGATTTCCCCAAAGAAGCCTAGTCGCGCCTCGCCTGGACAACATCTTCAGTTTTCGCAGCCGTTTGGAAACGGAGCCCTTTGGCGTACCGCCAAATGTGAACTACGCGCTGTATTGCCATGCATGCGCACCAGTTAGTCTGTTTTGTACCGCAAAGTGCCGGCGTTGCCCACGATGAATGTCTGCACTCGGCTTGCGTAGAGGAAGGAGGCTGCCTAGCACAAAATCAGTCTTAACAAGCGTAGGACTGTCCTAGCTCTTCAAACAAGCAGGCCTCAGCACAAAGAATTGCATAACATTTCGTTAAACTGAGTGCACCAAGACCCATGTAACAATTCTTAAATTTTTTTTTTTTTTTTTTTTTTGCGGCTCATTGGACAATCCTGGCATGGGTCCTGACGAATGTTTTCGGCCTGTGGGCGATAGTAGGCCTCTCTGCATAGTGTCTGACCTCCGCTTTAGCCGTCGTCGAGTGTATTTAATTCTAGCGCGAATTCCCCTTGATTGATTGTGCGATGGTGGAAAGCCCTTCTGAACATCTTCCTTCATGCAGCTATAGACCTCAAGCCAGGGTGCCTCCCTTGAAGATCTTGAGCATTCATCTGGGTACCCCTCCAAGTCCGCCTTCTTCCGCGCCTTACACGCCCGCCGCCCACCGCGCGCTCCGTCTCCTAGCTCCCACGGCTTTGGCACTATTCCCTCGTCTGGCCCACTTCGCCCCGTCGTCATCCCCCGCAGCCCATCAGTACGCGAACCTACGAGTCGGGCGTGCTGCTCGCCAATGTAAGTACTCGGAATTAATACTTGTGAGTTTAACCGACCATAGACTCTCTTCCTCGCGCCTCCCCCGCGCTCCTCCGTCCGCCCGCAGTGCTTGCTCGCTCGCCGCGACGGACATACCTTTCCTCTTCCAAGAGCGGCTCAGAGAAGCAAGAACGAAGTTAACGTATCAAAACAAGTCCTCGAGATAGTAACGGTGTACCAGCTCCTGTTTACCATGGTAACATCGTCCTGATCGTAGCTTACAGTGGTAGACTACCTGCTGCTCCAGTTACAATTTTCGGTTTAAACTGTGATTTTGGTTGTATACGGATCATGGTAGCCCCGTCACCTTCCTCGATGCGAGCCTCTTTGCAGACGAACGTTAGCGGCATGAAAAGTAGAGTTATGGTCTGCTCGAAGTTCACCTGAGCACGGAGCAGCCAGCGAAACGAGATTGGCTTACACGCGAGGCAGAGCACTCGCTTCGATTGGACCAGACGAAATATGGTCATTCCAAAGCGACATGCCAAAACTCAATTTTCAAAAAGTTGGCCTTTATAAAGGAAATGCCAAAGGATATATACAAGACAGCCCCAGGGCAAAGGTAACTCCCAATGTCGATGTGTTAATACAGTTTGATATAAGCTATAGCGATGTATAGTAAGTCATATATAGTACGTGATCTGAGTATATAGGTCGATGACTCAGGCTAATATATATATATATACAGCGAGGCGTATACATAAATACACACACCCGCCAGCGAAACCACAGCGCGCTACCAATAGTGTCTGTATTAAAATTCATAGGGCGACTCTAATTAAAACGCGCACGTGGCGATCAGTGTTATTCCCGTCGACTAGAGGCTTGACTCGCGCTGTGCAAACCGAAACTCTCGCGAGGTCGGGGCCGGTGCGTTCTGGAATATACGGAAAATGATTTAGGTATGTTTGTTTTACGATGAGCGTCTGGGCCGAACTTGGGCGATCTAGTAATTTGTTTACTCCGTACTTATTAGCCTTTGGCATTTCAGTCAACTGGAGAAACGTTAGACTTTAGACTCGCACGCTCGTTTATGTGTGGTAGCTTAAATACAAGAAAACTAAACTTAAAAACTTCCTTTGGCTAAGGGAAATGCGTGATTTTCGGCATAGTGAGTGATTCGACTTCTCAATTATAGTTCTTTGTCTGAGTGGAGTTTGAAATTTCAAAAAGTGTGGGGATGAATGCAACTGTTTGAATTGGAATGTCCCATGTTAGAAACGTCCTTGTGATAGGAGCGACATTCAGGTTGGGAACGATGGTAGTCCGTGTGTTCGCGCATGGTTGCCTTGTACATGGTGATCTATTGATGCTTTAACATCTTGACAACTGGAATCATTTGAGTTTCAGTGATTAGCTATAATCTAAACGGCTCCGCGAAAGCTACTCCCTATATAGCTTCAACTTCAGTCGGCAGGGATAGAGGTCGGCGAGTATATACGACTGCAGGGTATTCGAACGATAGTGGCTGGTTGCCACAATTACTGACGACTAAGGAGACCACCATGAGGACGAACTGTAGTCACAGTTTACAGAGCTTTGCTGAGCAACGCAGAACATTAGTTCGCCTCACGCTGTCTTGTGTGGAAGTTCAGGGATAGTGTAGGCGCGTATTGCGCCAGCACATGTTGCAGCCTGGCCGCGGTCTGAGAAGTAAGTGACAATCCTACTCTGCAGTAGGTTGTGTATTTGCGGGAAGAGTTCTAAGAGTTAGTTCAGCATGATCAGCCAACATGACACCAGAGTCGAAGAGAAACGTGTGCGTAGAGGGTCAGCTTATGACTTTAGCCTGTGGCATGGAAGTATGTTTTGGTTGGGTACTGAACTAGAAAGTCTTTGTCAGCGGTGAGGGTCCCGCCAAGGCCATTCCAGTCTGGGCTGCCGGAGGAATACTTTCTGCAAATAGTGTGGTTTTCGGCGATGGGTCAACTGTTTTATCAAACTCCGAAAATATCCTTCTTCTGACTCAGAAGAGACCACATACGGAATAGGGGTGTCGTGCTCTTTACTATGTAGGATCATTTCCGAAGTTGTAATTTTGTTGCTCCCCACCTCGTGCTGGTTATGGTACTCGCGCCGGGACGTTGCACAAGGGGATAGAGAGCGTAGTTGAACTTCATGAGGAAGAGATCCCCGCATTGTCATTTCATGGATCTAGCGACGGTGGAGTAAATCGTATCTTGGTTTTACTTTAAAGCAGAAACTGACGTTCCCTGCCAGAAGGGTTGATACTTGGCGGTGAATGTCGGCACGGCGTACCAGTAGGTCTGCCAAACGCGTTGGACCGGCGTTCACGCAGAGGTCATGAGCCTGTGAAACGTGCCGCGAATTGGAGCGGCGTTTAGTCACGCCAGCGCGCACTGCGGCTACCCCTCGGTGTAGGTGTAACGTTACGCGTCTTTCAAGAAATCGCCTAGAGGGGGACAGGCTTCGTTTTGTGGTGACGACGGCGAGGAAAGTCCGTTTGAGTGGGTAAAACAAGCGGACAATAATGTTGGTGTTGTGGGACGTTGGGTTGGAACGTTGGATCAGGTAC